TATTCATCATAGGAAAGAATAGGTCCTTGGTGGCCTTATATAGGCCTGTGCAGTCGGACGGATCGGATTGCGGACTGAGACCCCCGGTCGGATTTTGGATTTCCATTTTGACCACCCTAACCGTTTATTTTTGTTGACTAATCCGATCGGTTATTTTTATTTTCGGATTGGTTCGAATCGGTCGGATATCCGTGTTGTAATTCGATTTTATCAGAATGTAATAAAAAACTTAAAATCAAATATTCTATTCATGGATGATGGAACACCTAAGTGGCTAAGTACCTAACTAATGAACTACTTAAGTACTAAAAGCCACTAACTAGTAATTACTAACTACTTAACAGCAAAAATAAGTAAATAACATAAGTAAACTTATAAAAGTGTAAACATATAATCAGCAAAATACAAATTAGCTTATATATAATCAGCAGATTAGCTTACAAGTTACAAAATTAAAACTTGTAATGAGAATTTTAATTGTTCATAGCAAGCAGGCAAGTTGCAACAGCATCACTGCATCAGTCTCCAATCAGCACATCAGCATTCAGCTTTCATGTTTCAGGCATTGAGCAAAAGAAAGCCAGATATCCAAGACTCCAAAAGCAATATATGAATATATGATTAATATAATATAGAGTACTCTATGTCTATTCTTCTTCCTGATAAGTGAACACATAAAAACACAATAAGTTCAAAACATTTGTAGTTAGTTAGAATTGACACAAATAACACAATCACACAAACTGAAACTGTAAAAGACTAAAAGAGTGCTCAGATAGCTTTTTTTTTTCATATCAAGTTAGGATTGGGGGCACACTACTCAATGAGTATGGCATAAACACCACACTTCAAAGGCAACATACCAAACCCAATTCTATATATTCAGAGAACATGGTGGAAGCATCATCATAGCACAATAATGAACATTTATACAGGTATAACTTATAAGTATAGTGAGTCAGAAGTCAGAAGTCACATTTAGACATTTAGTCAGTACTTATACTGATACCTGAGCTCAATGGCAGCAACATTTAAAATGTTACCTAGCCATGAGCACTTTCCAGTTTCCAGTTCCAACTTCCCAGCCTCACGAGGGACATTGATTTGAATCATTGATACACATACATGATACACTGATACAGAGGCATAAATTTATCATGAAATCAAATAAGTAAATAAGTAATCACAAATCAAATAAGTAAATAAGTAAACATACAACAATTGTAGGCATTCCAGTTCCAGTGCTGGATGTGCAGCACAACTCTGCAGTACAAAAACAAAATGGAAATTAAAACTTAAACAATTAAACAGATCATTGCTGGAAGTTAGAAGTATATACCTTTCTCAATCCTTTCAACATCTTCAATATTTTCTTCAATTGAGATTGGTTGGTTGCTTAACCTTAGCCAATCCTGTGCACACACCAATGCCTCAACAATTCTAGGAGTTAGGGAACTCCTAAAGGCATCAAGTACCCTTCCACTTGTACTGAATGCTGATTCTGAAGCAACAGTTGATATTGGAACAGCTAGAATATCTCTTGCCATTTTAGATAAGACAGGGAACCTTTCAGATTGTTGCTTCCACCATCTTAGAAGGTCAAATGAATCATCCTCATCCACAATAACCTCAGAGAGATACACTTCCAACTCAGTTTTTTTCCTAGACAAATCCCCACTCACCAATTTTTGCTTCTTAATCTGAGATTTCAGTAATGATTGAGGTCTCCCAACAGAAACTGAATCAGATATTGTTATTGAGGGAGAAAATTTTTCAGATTGTTCAACACACTGGACAGGGAAGCATGCAACATAATCTTCAAACAACTCCTTAAGGCCAACAATCACCTTATCAAACATTGTTTTACCCTTGTCCTCACCATATAACTGGTTAAACTGAATGGGCATATACTCAATTTTGTCCCTGGGGTCTAAGATATTTGCATAGAATATCAAAAAATTCATTTTTTCAGGCTCACCCCAATACTTATCAAATTTTGCCCTCATATTTTTACCCATCAGTTTAACACTATCTTCTGTAGCTTCCTCCATATTTTTCAACAAGCAAGACAAATCAGAAATCTCATAGAAGAAGGTATTAGAAGTCACATACAATGATCCAGAAATCCTAACAGTCATTTCATAAAAAGATTTTAGAATCATAACCAAAGATTGAATGGATTCCCAATCTAAGAAATCAGGTACACTTCCACCCAAATCAGATTTAAGTGAACTGTCATGATCATCATAGGCTTCAAATACCTTCTGAAACAGTAATGCAGTATTAAACATCATATATGTGGAATTCCACCTTGTAGGGACATCTAGACACATAGAATTCTTAGCTTACACCCCAATTAGATCAGCTAGTGATTTAAACTTCTGCAACCTAGCAGGTGAGCTCCTCACATACCTAACAGCATCCCTGACTTTCTTAACAGAACTGTCACATTCTTTCAACCCATCCTGTACCACCAAGTTAAGAATGTGAGCAATGCACCTCATGTGCAAATACTTACACCAAACAGCAGTACAACCCCAAGAGCCCAACTTCTTCTTCAAGAATCCTAGGGCAGTATCATTGCTGGAAGCATTATCTACTGTTACACTAAACACTGATTTTAGACCCCAGTCCAAAAGGCAACTCTCTAAAGCATTTGCAATACTTTCCCCCTTGTGGGAATATATAGGAACAAATGAAATAATCTTCTTTTGCAGCTTCCACTCACTATCAATGAAATGTGCAGTTATGCACATGTAGTTTATTCTCTGGACTGAGGTCCAAGTATCAGTTGTGATACTTACCCTCTGACTGCTAGTCCTAAAAAAATTCTTCAAGTTGACCCTCTCATCAGAAAATATCTTGAAAATGTCCCTACTGATAGTCCATCTTGAAGGGATTTTAAACCTAGGACAGCAAACTAAAACAAACTTTCTAAAACCCTGTCCCTCAACAATCCTAAAAGGAAGTTCATCTAAAATAATCATCTCAGCTAAGGCTCTCCTTATCAAGTCTTGATCAAACACCCAAGTACCCAACACCCCTTCAGTTCCTTCACTACTTTGAGTTCCAGCAGAAGAAGGTGCAGGTTGGAATGTGAGTAGGGACTGCCTTGTCTCCTTAGAGTGAGGATTTTTAAGGCAGTTTACCACATGAAGTCTGAGAGAAGAAGTCCCATGTTTCTTGGTCTCACAGCAATACACTTTTGCACAATATATACATTTTCCTTTGATGACAATGCCCTCACTGTCTTTGATCTTTTCAAAGTGATCCCAACATGGAGCCTTGGATTCAACCTCTTTCCTTTTCTTTGGAACAGGTGGAGGCAAAGGCTGCTGAGACTGAGGAGTAACAGTCTCTACAGCAGGTGCTTTCAACTCAGGTTGTGTTCCAGATACACCAGTAACAGTCTCTACACCACTAACACTTTCCATCTAAAAAGGGGAAAGTATCAGTGACACAGAATGGGAAATCACTCATTCAAAATCATCAACAGAGAATGGGCTTTGTCACATACACACATGTATCAATTAAAGTGTTAAACAGGCAGAATTCAGTGAATTGAACATTTCATCATGTATGCAGAATTGCACATAAATGATTTAAGGGTCACATATCCATAAACTTACAATTTCACATTTTCACAGTTACAACTTACAACTAAGTAACTAACAACTTACAAATTACAATTTACAATGAAATCCATAATCAGGCATTCAAGCTAAGTAGGTGTATGCTACTTTATATGCTCATCATTTATATGGATTTCAGTCACACACTCCCACATTTATATGGATTTCAGTCACACATCAGTATAAGACACACTCCCACATTTATATGGCTTCCACACAAATACCATCATGCTTAACATTTATATGGATTTCAGTATTTAACTCACAGTGGCAACTGGCAAGGGGCTAGGGTAGTATGGCTTCCACCACAGATTAGGTTACAAATTAGAAACCCTAATCAAACAATTCACAAATTCATACTCAAAGAACTACTGACATGCAATCCGGAACTTCTCAACGGATTTACAAGTATCATAGTCCAGTGAGTCCACAGATTAGGTTACAAATTAGAAACCCTAATCAAACAATTCACAAATTCACACTCAAAGAACTACTGACATGCAATCCGGAACTTCTCAACAGATTTACAAGTATCATAGTCCAGTGAGTCCACATATTTACGTTACAAATTAGAAACCCTAATCACACAATTCACAAATTCAAACTCAAAGGACTAGTGACATGCAATCCGGAACTTCTCAACGGATTTACAAGTATCACAGTCCACATAATCATAAAAATTAGAAACCCTAATCAAGAAGACAAATACACAATAATCTATAACGGAAATGTAAATAGGGTTTAGTAATTACTTCGTTTCTCAGATTTAATCCCTCGAGAACAAAGGGCTTTGAATCCACTATTCCACCGTTCCACAGTTCCACCAGACTCCGGTGACCGGACTAGGGTGTAGGGCTTCCACCGTTCCACCACTCCGCCAGTCGCTACTCCGAGTCTCCGAATAGGGCTTCCACCAGACTAACAAACAGAGACTAAGACTCTCAGAGTCTTAGAGAGTAAGACACTAAGAGTCTAAGACTCAAAGTCTCAAAGACCAGAGTCCAGAGCGAAAGAGAGAACGAGAGATGAGAGATGACTGATGAGAGATTGAGAGAAGTCTAGAAGAGTCAAGAGTGAACTGAGAGCTCGGCTGCGCTCAATGAAATGAGTAATATATATACATACACCAAACGACATCGTATTATATAGCGGAAAAAAACCCTAGGGTTTTATCGGGTAATCGGACGGGTTCGGGTGGCGTTTACTGCCTCCCACCCAAACCCCTTGCATCCGTCTAATAGCGTAGCGTCGGATCGGGTTGGGTATTCGGATACGGTTCGCTCCACGGACTCGCCCGTCGGGTTTTGGGTCGGTCGGGTGGGTCAGATTTTTCGAGTTTTGCACACCTCTAGCCTATAGTCTATGTAGATGATATTGTTATTGCAAAGTGAAAGTCTGAAAGTCATACAAGATGTCAAGCAGCAGCTAAGCACAAATTTCCTACTCAAAGATTTAGGCCCTTTGAAGTACTTTCTTGGGCAAGAAGTGGCTAGGCACAAAAAGGGCATTGCAGTATGCCAAAGGAAATATGCAGTTGAGTTACTTGAAGATACAGGTTTCACAAGTGCAAAACTTGTGTTCAATCCTACAGTTCCTTCCCATAAACTGAGCAGGAATGAAGGAGAGTTCCTTGAAGATAACAGTCAATACAGGAGAATTGTTGGTAAACTTTTTTACTTAACAATAACTAGACCTGATATTAGCTTTGCCACTCAGCAGTTGTCCCAATTTCTTGACAAGCCCACAGATCTACACTTGCAAGCAGCACATAGAGTGCTGAGATATATTAAAGCTGCTCCTGGGCAAGGTCTATTTTTCCCATCCACATCTGACCTACAACTTAAGGCCTATTCATATTCAGACTGGGGAGCTTGTGTAGATACAAGGAGATCTGTGACTGGCTTCTGCATTTTCCTTGGGGATGCTTTAATCTCTTGGAAGTCTAAGAAACAACCTACAGTCTCCAAATCTTCCTCAGAAGCATAATATAGGGCATTGGCAGCCACAAGTTGTGAGATACAGTGGTTGACCTATTTACTGGCAGAATTTGGGGTTGATCACAGTGAAGCAGTGGCTATATATTGTGATAGCAAATCAGATGTGGCAATTGCAGAGAATCCTGTATTCCATGAAAGAACCAAGTACATAGAGCTGGACTGTCATCTTGTTAGAGAAAAGCTACACAAAGGGCTCATCAAGTTGTTCCACATTGCCTCTGAAAAGCAGCTAGCAGATCCCTTCACTAAGACACACTACCCTACATCCTTTCAGCATTATATTTCCAAGCTTGGATTAGTGAATCTATATAATCCAGCTTGCGGGGGGATTTCAGGAGAAGAAGCAAAATGAACAGATCAGTGACACTTGTCACCATCTTAGCATACATAGCAGTTAGAAGTTAGTTTCTTTCTGTTTAGTTGTCAACCACCTTTCCCTCCCTTTTTGCCTTGATGTATAAAGCTTGTGTTAAACTCCCAGAGATCAATGAATAAAACAGTTCTCTTTTCTTCTTCTTTATCATCTGTTAACTCTCTTTTGAGCTCCATGAAATTGGCTCTTCGGCTTTACTACTAAAATTGAGGTTACTAATAGCTTTGCCGCGGAGCTGTGGGGCCTAAGGGAAGTCTACGGCTCGCAAAGAATAAGGGGTTGTTAAACAGAGTAATTGTGGAGCTTGATTCGGAATATGTGATTGTCGTTATGAAAGGGGACGGACATGAATGGGTGCTTTTCTACACTTCTCAAAGGTTGTAGGCTTCTTTCTGTTTGCTTTGATGAGATCGTCTTCCATCACACTCTGAGGGAAGGAAACAAGTGCGGATATCACCTTGCTAATGTTGGGCAAATTGGGGATTGGGGGACGACCATTTGGGACGCACCTCCCGCCAGTTTAGACATGCTTCTTGCCGCCAACGCCTTTGGTGCTAGTTACATTAGAGTGTGGTAATTGTGTTCCTCCCGTTGTGTATGGGGGAAGCTCACACAAAAAAAAAAAAAAAAAAAAAAAAAAAAAAAGAATCTTGGGAATTAATTGAGTTGTTTGAAAGTGCGTTAAATTACAATTTCAGAACTTTTTTACTCTTTTTTTTTCCTGTTTTTTTTTTTTTCTTGAAACACACAACTAGGGTTCAATATTGTGACAATCCATTTAAAATGGTAACAAATGTGTCATCACACACACTATATATATATATATATATATATATATATATATATATATATATATATATATATATATATATATATATATATTAAATACCCAAAATGGTCCCTCGACTATAGCTAAATTCACAAATTGGTCCTCAACTTTCAATTTCACCCAATTAAGTCCTTAACTTTGTAATTTTAACACAATTTAGTCATCTGTCTATTTGACCGTTTGTTAACTGTGATTTTTGAGGATATATATGTAATTTCATGGTCCATCGTCGGTTTTTTAAGGCTCCGGTTGCATTTCCAGACTGCACTGTTACATTTGAATCCACTATCGAAAGCAATCTACCAAACCCAGTCACCTTCTTCATCCTCCCTTTGGATTCAATGTAGTTGAATTCGTACCAGAGCGAAGAAGACGACGTGTTTCCGAACCGGTGCAACGTCATCCTGGAGGCCTCTACGTGTTCCGACGTGAGTTGAAGGTTCTTCTGGAGATCGTCGATCACGGTCAACAAACGGTCAATTAGATGGAGGACCAAATTGTGTCAAAATTGCAAACTTAAGGACTTAATTGGGTGAAATTGAAAGTTGAGGACCAATTTGTGAATTTAACTATAATCGAGGGACCATTTTGGATATTTACTCATATATATATATATATATATATATATATATATATATATATATATATATATATGACATGGGTTGCGAGCTTGTGACTGCTGCAAGATTGCAACCCCTGACAAAAGCAGATGCGACAACGTTTTATATATATTTTTTAATTTGCGTTTTTGTTTTTTTATTTGGATGTAATGTTGAAGTATAGTTCTTTTTTAAAGTGAGAGTGTTGGAGAGATAAATTCAGTCTTAGCTTATTGATGTGTGAATAGAAAGGACCAAAGGTTGCGGAAGCTTGACTTACTGGTTGCTGTCGACAAATTATGCCGTGAACCTAACTCGACCTTGCAAGGTGGACCCGGATTATGTTCACAATTTTTGAAATCTATATTCACAATTTTAAAACTGAATATTCATAATTTTAGATCTCAATATACAAAATTACAGAACTCAATATTCACAATTGCAGAACTCTATATTCATAATTTTATAACTGAATATTCACAATTTTAGATCTCAATATACAAAATTGCAAAATTTAATATTCACAATTGCAAAACTCTATATACACAATTACAGAACTCTATATTCACAATTTCATAACTCTATATTCACAATTACAAAACTGAATATTCACTCGTTGAGTTGTTTTTAATAATTTTTTTTTTTTAAAAATGACTATGGAAATTATATCACTAACGACACCGTTATTTTTACACGCACAAATTGCGTTATTTTGGACTTGCAAGGTGGACTCGGGTCCATGGCAATTGGTTGTTGTCGGTATCAAGTTCTAATTTCGTTTGATCACGTGCTATTTTTGGGCCTCTTGCCTAAATTCAGAGTATCTGACTTTGGAAAAAAATTCCTATCCTGAAGTTCTGAACACCAAATTGGAAGTTAATGAAACTAAATTTGCATGTGCATTCAATATTCTACGTGTGACCCACGTGGAGGATGCTACTTTGAAATGCCAAAACACGCCATACTCAGCAAATAATAGAATATAGAGTTAATACCCAAAATCGTCCTCGACTATAGTGGTTTTTCTCAATTTCGTCCTAAACGACTTTGGTGACCTAATATCGTCCCAGACTTTTGTGTTTCGCTCAATTTAGTCCTCCATTTGTTATTCCGTCAAATTGGTGTTAAATAAAGGGACAATTCAATAATATCAATATTGATCTCTCTTTACTTTCAACTTGTGAAGTGCGAAATTCTTCTTTCTTGTACGAATTACACCCAGAATTATTCCCGGACCTACAAATCAAATTTTATATTCGCAGTTTTAGGAGTAATTCGTAAAAAAAAAAATGGATTTCGCAGTTTACATGTCTATGAGTAAAGAGATGCCAATATTAAAATTACTGAATTGTCTATTTATTTAACACCAAATGGACAGAATAACAAATGAGAGACTAAATTGAGCAAAAATACAAAAGTCTGGGACTAAATTGAGCGAAACACAAAAGTCTGGGACGATATTAGGTCACCAAAGTCGTTTAGGACGAAATTGAGAAAAACCACTATAGTCGAGGACGATTTTGGGTATTAACTCATAGAATATATAAAATAATAAATACCTAATTTCACTTTTTCAAAAAAAAAAAAAAAAAAAAAAAAAAAAACCTAATTTCACTAATAATATAATCTTTTATTTAAAATGAAAGAACGCTGTGTAATTTAATATTTAAACAAGTAACATGTTTTTAGTGTTTATATTTTTGTGTTAACTTTATTTTATTTTATTTTAGTTGATTTCAAAATCACTCATAAAAAATCTTAAACTTATGTTATTAGGCTATAAAATTTTTGACAGTTGTACTAATTTTTTTTAAGAAAAAGGTTGATAGTATGTCAAATATTATATCAAGCAAATTCATATGTGTATGGCAAAAACTTGTGTGAGGCCGTCTCATGAATTCTTGTCCATAAGACAGTCCAATCAAAATGAAAATATAATATTTATATTAAGAAATGCAATACTAATTAGTAGGGATGGCAACAGGCGTGACATACTCCCCGCCCCTATCCCCGAAACCCTAACCCCATCCCCATTCCCGTCGGAGATTTGAAAATAGTCTCCATTCATATCTCTGCGGGAAATTAAATTTGGCAGGGACGAGAATTCCCATTCTCGGTAAACTCTTAGTCAAAATCTTAAATAATTGTAATTTTTAATTTTAAAAACTAAAAACCTAAATCTTAATTTAAATATTATAATAACTATTTGGGGACGGGATACATAATTGTTTTACATAGTTGTATAACATAATACACATATTCTTTTTTGAAAAGATAATATATACACATAATCTAACATAATACATAATACACATAAACTTTTAACCCTTAAAAAAAATCTCATGTTTCGAATGTACATAATTGTATAAAGAATGTATATAATTATATAAAAAATGTATATAATTGTAGAACAGAATGTACATAATTGTATAACATAATTTACATAATTATATATCAGAATACACATACATTCTGCCGTGTCAATTCTCTACACAATTTAACAAAACGACGTCATTTTAGGAGGCGCGAGACGCACATTATTATGTGCTCCGTGGTACACGATATAACGATTGAGGATGTGAGTACTTCAATCACAATTCGCATGTTCTTATATGAGTTTGAAAAACACCACATATTTTTAAAATTTAAACTATTTTAAGAAGTTACTCTTGTGACCACAGCCTACACCAACAAAATTTAATAAAAAACAATAAGGGTGTGTTTAGTTCGCACATGAGAATCAGAATCACAATGTGAATCAAATACTTAATATTGGCAGGTAAATTTTTTAACTAATGAAAGAGAGATTTTTTTTTTTTTAATTTATATAAATTTTTTTTTTTTTACATGTCCCTACCAAAATTTAAGGTAAGGTAAAAAAAAAAAAAAAAAAAAAAAAAAAAATCATTGAAGTTGCTCTTAGTACAGACTTATTTTATAGTTCCTCTTTCGCGGGTTATGCATCTTTGACAGTTGACAATGACCATTGGCGTTCTGTTTCGTTTCTATCTATTATAAAGATTATAAAATAAAAGTATATTAATCACATCGCTTATAATTTATATATTATTAGACGAGACACAGCTAAGCTAGCACGGCGGTGCTGGGTGTCTAGAAATGTGTGCAAATTAAAGTAAAGCGGCCGTTCTGAATTTTCATCTCATCTGATCTGTGTTGATCGAGGATCATATCGGGGGAATGGGTTCCTGTTATTCTGTGCATAAAGATAAAGAGCACCCAGCTAAAGCAGAGAATAAGCACAACTCGCACCTCAATGGCGCCCACACCCTACTCGCCGATCTTCTCCTCAAACCTCAGCCGTCTCCCCATCACGCCGTTACCACTACTTTTTCCCACTTTGGTACCATTCTCATCTCTCTCTTCATCATCATCATATATTTTCTTGCAATCTTTTCGTGTGATCTTACGGATGAGTTGATTGTAGAGACTATGAGAGTTGATTTATCAATGAATACAGAATACTTTTCAAAATTACTAATAAAAAATATCTCATTTTATTTATCTCTTCAAAATTATGTCAAACAAAATACAACAACTCTTAATGAAGTGGGATAAAATATACAATTTACAATTTTATATACTGAATGTTCGAAATTTAAATTGTGAACATTCAGTATTTAAATTATGTATTTTTGTACTCAAGTTCACCGAATAATTTGTCATGTTTTATTAGACGGGCAATATGTGATACATACGTTGCTAATGGACTTGATAGCATTTTATTTTTCATGTAATTTTTTTTTTCAAATTATCAGGTATCGTGTAAAATGGAAATGAAAAAAATTATTTTGTAATTAAAAGAGTATGCAATCCAGAAGCTAATTAAAAATTTCAACATCAAATTGTTCCGATGGGAGGCTGTACTGTCATTTGTTTGGAGAATCTACTTTTCATGGATTCTTGAAAAAAAAATAAAGACAAAACATTTTTTTTTTTTAAAAAAAAAAAGGTAAAACAACAAATTAAAAGAAACAAACAAGAACCCACCATTGATGGATTGAAAGATATTCCATTTTTGTTTGTCTGTATTGTTAATTATTATTCCATTTCTAAATCTTTTTTATATATATGTATGCGCATAATTGATCTCTCCGCTGATGTGGACAATCTTTGGTACCTACCAATTTTGTACTTTGGTTGGTGACAAATAATTTGCATATTATTGTATCAATTTAATCATGTGGCTCATTTGCCCATGAATATCTTGGTATTGCTGATAACTAGCTATCATTAGCAATATAAAAAAACTCTATCAACTATCAGTTTAGATTTTTAGTCAGATAGAAAACATGCTTCAATTAATATAACATGTAATTCAGGCATGACATAATTTAACTATATATATTGTGTAGGTAGCAATGAGTCATTTTTTGATACACAACCTTGGCTGGAGTCTGACTGTGAAGATGACTTCTATAGTGTTAAAGGAGGTGAGATACATTTTATTTTCATTCAGTACAGTTAAGCTTTTTCTCATTCTTTCCTTCCCTATAATAATGCATGCAGATTTTACCCCATCTTGTGGAAGTACACCTGCCAATCAAAGCTTCTCTTTAGGAACTCATCCTAAAATTAATGGACCCATTTTAACTGACGATAGAGCTTTCGTTTCTGAACCCCAATTGTCTCCAAAAAAGAAGAGCAAGAAACTATTCCAACTTTTCAGAGAAAGTTTAGGAGGTGACCAGGATTTCACTGTTCTGGATGGTGCACACAACTAAACAAGTCTTTCAATAATCAAAAAGGCCGCCATGCTGACAACTGGTTTTGATCCCCTTCAGAAATCTGCAGATGGAACACCTTATTCTTCTTCTTCTGCTGCATATAGTAGCGAAAGAACTCCCGGCCCAGAGCTCAAAGCTGATTCAAAATCAACAAAGAGTGGGCAATGTTGCCTTCCAAGGTTGCTTTGAAATCTTGACTTTAATTTAATGGAAGCAGGAATCAAGAAAATGGCAAGTCCTAGCTAGCTAGCTGCAGTTTTGTGAGATGAATATATTTATATAAATACTAGTAGAGATAGGAATAATGCTATGAATGGCATAGGTTAAGTTGTAGAGGCCAAGAGGTAAAGCATGCAGGAATCATCAGTACTGTATGTCTGTATGTCCATAGAATGCATGTAATAACCCGAATTACTGTTTAGTTTAGGCTCAGATAGATTGTAATAATTTGTTATACCAAGTCCTGATGAGAAAATGAAGATGTGCATAATATGAATGTCAGCGGATGCCTAGGAGAAAAAGGGTGAAATGCATTATATTAGTGCATGTACCTATATCCTTGACAAATTAAAACCCATCCAATTAAGCTCCCCATTCAAGAAGCTAGTTTGGAACTGCCTCTTTTCATAATTTCAACTATATATTGATCTAGGAATTTTGCTCACTTAGCTTGTTTGTGGTTAAGCCTTTCCGTTATTACATTATTATAATATTAGGTTAAAGTTATACTACTTTAAAAAAAAAAGATTAAAGTTATACTAATTAAGGTAATCTATTATGCACCTTAGGAGGCGTTTGGTTCAGGTTATATAACATAACCAAGGGAATGTGACATTCCAAAGTTCACATTCCGGTGTTTGGTTCATATTATCTTTAAGGAATCTAACATTCTCAAGGAATGTCACATTCCCTCCAATCGGATTTTGAAAAGAATGTAATTCCCTTCAAAATCTTAGGTAATGTAAGATAACATTGGTTATGTTGGTTTTATATATATATATATATATATATATATATATATATATATATATATATATATATATATATATATATAATTATTTTTGTAATTATATATATATTTTTTATTTTTATTAAGTTATATGTTATGTTAGCATATAAAATAATTTTGTTTCTCAAGTTCAAGATTTTAGTTAATATTTTAAAATCATGTAATTATATATGATACCGTTATCTTATTTATTTATTTTAATTTTTAAATTTATTAAAATATATGAAAATATGTTAAGGATGTTATAGTGTGTATAAAAGATAACATTAAACCAAACATGATTATATTAGATACCCCAATTTTAACCAGACACAGGAATCTAACATTCCTAACAATCTAACATTCCCTAAGTTAATCTAACATTCCGTGAACTGAACGAACCCAAAGTATTTTAGCAGATTTCTAAGACTAGCCCAACAAATACAAAGAAACATATATAATAAAAATATATTGTCAATCTAGCCAGCTAGTTAGAAAATACAAAAAATATTTCAAAATGGGCTTGCTCTTTATTTAAATAAAATACTAGTCTTTAATTCTTCTCCTTGGGTTTCTCAAAGTCTCAATCCATGGTATATTCTAAACATTCCATGTTGGGCTGGAATATTATCAAGCCCAAGATGAGCAACATAGTGCACCTTCATATTATAGTCTTCGAACTTCACTACAAAAAAATGCACATAAACAACAATGAAAAACCATTGTCTTTTAGGAAAAAAAAAATATATTGTTGAAGTTGGAGTTTTATTAAAATAAGAGGCTTTGCTGAATTTGTCAAGGCAGCTCATAATTGTCGCGGCTTGATTTTTCGAAGCTTCCCCAAAGAGAAGCAGGTCATCCGCGAAGAACAGATGAGATAGGCCTAGAACCCCCCCCCCCCCCCCCCTTGAGTTATGTGAATTGGCTTCCAGTTTCTCGAGGTGACAAGGTCTTGCAGTTCATAAGCAAGGCGTTCCATGATAATATTGAATAAATATGGGGTGAGGGGGTCACCTTGGCGAATGGCTCTTCTTGGAGTGAAGGAACGAAGACGACCACCATTCCACATGATGGAAATGTTGCTTTTTGTAAGCGAGAAAAGGATGAGATTTATGAGATTTCTCGGGAAACCAAAGCTTGTCAGGGTGTCCTTAAGGAAACTCCAATCCACACTATCATAAGTTTTGTGCAGGTCCACTTTGACAATCATAAGGCCTTTTCTACCACGTTTTTTATTCATGGTGTGGATAATCTCTTGGGTGAGGATTACATTGTCCATGGTAGAGCGCCAGGAGGGAAACTATTTTGATGGGGGCCGATGAGCTTGCGTATGATGGGTCTCATCTTATTCACAATCGTTTTTGAAATGACCTTAAGTTCTTCACTGAAGAAGAAAAAAAATACAAGCACAAACGTTGGGCCTACTACTAGCTAGTCATGGATTAACTAAAGGAGTATATATATAATCATCTTTTCTTCTTCAAGTTTAGAACACCCTATTATCACAATGAAAATGAAATGAAGCTTTGCTTTTTGTTTTACCCTATGAGTGCATCTCTAAGTCTAAAAAACCAAACCTATAGTGTGATAGGCTGGCAAAATCAGTATACTCAGATGATCACATATGGCATTAACTCAAATTTTATTATTTTATACTCCGTACTAGTTAATGGTGCGTTTGAAAACCCCAAAAATGACTTCTGAAAAATATTTTCCGGGGATTTCAGTGTTTGGCAAGAGGGAGGAAAATGAGATCAACGAAAAATGATGTTATAGTCAACGGAAAATAAGTATGTTTTGGGGGAAAACGATTTCCCCTTTTTTTGAGAAGTCATTTTCCAATCCTCATATTTGGTATGTATAGTATATAGTTTTTGTGTGTGTGATATAGATACACTATATATATATATATATATATATATATATATATATATATATATATATATATATATATATATATATATAGGTTCTCGTGCGGGTGAGGGCTTCAGGTGCGGTTGTGCGGTTTAATCTGAGCCATCCATCTCGCTTTAATCAACGTCCAGGATTATCAAAGTTTTAAAAAAAAAATGCAGTGGCAATTTTGTAATTTTTGCATCTAGGTCAAAATTAAGGTGAGCGGATCTGTGATTAATGTGCGTGAGTTTTGTGCTTAATGTGCGTGTGTTTTGTGCTTAATGTGCGTGAGGTTTGTGCTTAATGTGCGTGGGGATGTGCTTAACGTGAATAGTTGTTAAAAGTTAAAGTCTGTGAGTGAATACTTAAAGTGCATGAGTTTTGTGTTTAATGTGCATGATGTTTGTGCTTAATGTGCGTGTGTTTTGTGCTTAATGTGCGTGAGGTTTGTGCTTAATGTGCGTGGGGATGTGCTTAACGTGAATAGTTGTTAAAAGTTAAAGTCTGTGAGTGAATACTTAAAGTGCGTGAGTTTTGTGCTTAATGTGCGTGATGTTTGTGCTTAATGTGCGTGGGTTTTGTACTTAATGTGCGTGAGTTTTGTACTTGGTTGTTGAAACTTAAAGTCTGTGAGTTAATATTTAAAGTGCGTGGGTTTTGTACTTAATGTGCGTGAGGTTGTGCTTAATGTGTGTGGGTTTTGTACTTAAAGTGCGTGAGTTTGTGATTAAGATCTAACACTTAAGGTGCACCAAGCCTCCGACTTGCCCTGGGCTTTGGCAAAACCCTCCAGCAAAGCTGCGCTACTCCTAAGCAAGATAAAAGGAGAAATCCAAATTCAAAGTATAGAGTTGATGAGTTGAATGAGTCTCCTCCTCGCCTTCCTGGTATTCGCACACTGGGCTTTGGCAAGCGTTTTTATTTATTTATTTATTTTTTAATTTTCATTGATTTGAGTCGTTGATCTAAATTTGATCAACTGCTCAGATTTAACCGCACAACCGCACGGGAAGCTATACCCGCACCTGAACCCTTCCCTATATATATATATATATATATATATATATATATATATATATATATATATATATATATATATATATATATATATATATAGACATTCAAAATTGTCCACAAAGCTTAATGAGTGCTATTCACAAAAGGATTTTATCAAAAATATTAAATAATTAAAATATTGAAGTATACGATTCTTACCATTTTCCTACTCATTTTCTAGAAAATGAACCAAACACACAAAGACAGTTTTCCATTGTGTAGCCAAACATCGAAAATTAAAATATTTTTTGAAAAATGACTCATTTTCTGAAAAATATTTTTCAGAAGTCATTTTCCTACTTTTCAAACGTAGTCTAAATGAAACATGTTGTGCAACTAAATAAATATCCAATCCTAAAATGAAGTTGTATATATAATTACATTATCAAAATAAATAAACAAACAACTATAATTTTTTGTGCAATTGAGAATTAAATTGTTAACTTTTTTAGAATTTTATATCTATTTATTATATGCTATTCTAACAAATTATTTGTATAATATATATTAAGTAATTGAAATCATCATCAATCATTTGCAATATTCAACATTCAACAATTTACACTATCAAATAGGTGTATATAATTATATAAAATTGAATAACATATTACTTCATTTTGTTGAAATTCAAAAAAAGTAAATGAGAAAATATTAAATTTGTTTTTAACCATTAAAATATTTGAGCTAAAAATTTTATATATACCATAACAATATTAAAAAAGAAAAAAACATTATGCAGTTATGGATTTATGTATTAAAATTATATCTCAATTAAATGTTGAATTTTAGTAGCCAAAAAAAAATGTTGAATTTTAAGTATTTTTAAATTTGACTAATATTATATAAATTAATGGATTAATTCGAAAATAAAAATTCCATTTCAATTCACAATTAATTGAGTTAATTCCATTTTTTGTCCTAGATTATAGGTGTTAGTCCACTTTTAGTCCTTTTTTTTTTTTTTTTTGTTCAAAACATCTCCTTTGAGCCTAATATTATTGTGGCATGATCATTTTTGGTCCACTTTCAACAAAATCGTTTAAATGGCGTTAAATACAAGGGCATTTTGGTCTTTTCAATTCTAAGTGTTAAGTCATTTTTTTTTTTGGTTCTAGATTTATTTGTACCATTCCACTTTTACTCTTTTTTTTTTTTTTTTCAAAAAATCTCCGTTGGTCCTAGCATTGTTGTGGCATGACCGTTTTTTGTTCTCGTCAACAAATATGTTTAAATGACGTTATTAACCACTCTAAATCTTCTTTTTTCTTCTTGATAATAAA